GGGAGAGAAGCCTCATGTGAGAAAGCTCCAGAGTGAAGGCTGCTGTGTGTAAAGCTACTGTGTATTTGTTTGTGTTCTTGTAAATAGTGCAACCGTATTATTTTACTACTAAGAACAGCCTCCTATGGAAACTATCATGTTAGTCTGTGTGTTATTACTTTGGTGCTGGGTCACACTGCTGCTAATAAGTTACTCTGCTGTGCATTTATGGGGAGGGTCTTTTGTTGATAAGCCCACTTGCCCAACAGATGAATCTATGAACTCTCATCATCTGTTGATGATGGTTCCAGATCGCCTCCAAAACCTGTTAGAGTTAGTTGGCCCAAGGCTAGTGTCGTCCTGGGGAATATGAGGTAAACCTCAGTGTGAGAGAAGCCCCATGTGAGAAAGCTCCAGTGTGAAGGCTGCTGTGTGAAAAGCTACTGTGTATTTGTATATTAGTGTTATGGAAACCGTGTTTTTGTAAATAGTGCAACCATATTATTTTACTAATAAGAAGAGCCTCCCATGGAAGAGATAATGTTAAGTCTGTGTGTTATTTCTTTGGTGGTGTGTCACGCTGCTGCTAATAAGTTACTCTGCTGTGCATTCATGGGGATGGTCTTTTGTTGATAAGCCCACTTGCTCAATATATGATTCTATGAACTCTCATCATCTGTTGATGAAGGTTCTAGATTGCCTCCAAAACCTGTTAGTTAGTGGGCCCAAAGCTAGTGTCATCCTGGGGAGTGTGAGGTAAACCTCAGTGTGAGAGAAGCTTCATACTTTGGTGCTGGGTCATGTTGCTGCTAATAAATTACTCTGCTGAGCATTCATGGGGATGGTCTTTTGTTGATAAGCCTACTTGTCCAACAGATGATTCTGTGAACTCTCCAAAACCTTTTAGTTAGTGGGCCCAAGACTAATGTCGTCCTTGGGAGTGTGAGGTAAACCTCAGTGTGAGAGAAGCTTCATACTTTGGTGCTGGGTCATGTTGCTGCTAATAAGTTACTCTGCCGTGCATTCATGGGGATGGTCTTTCGTTGATAAGCCTACTCGTCCAACAGATGATTCTGTGAACTCTCCAAAACCTTTTAGTTAGTGGGCCCAAGGCTAGTGTCGTCCTTGGGAGTGTGAGGTAAACCTCAGTGTGAGAGAAGCTTCATACTTTGGTGCTGGGTCATGTTGCTGCTAATAAGTTACTCTGCCGTGCATTCATGGGGATGGTCTTTCGTTGATAAGCCTACTCGTCCAACAGATGATTCTGTGAACTCTTCAAAACCTTTTAGTTAGTGGGTCCAAGGCTAGTGTCGTCCTGTGGAGTGTGTGGTAAACCTCAGTGTGAGAGAAGCTTCATACTTTGGTGCTGGGTCATGCTGCTGCTAATAAGTTACTCTGCTGAGCATTCATGGGGATGGTCTTTTGTTGATAAGCCTACTCGTCCAACAAATGATTCTGTGAACTCTCCAAAACCTTTTAGTTAGTGGGCCCAAGGCAAGTGTCGTCCTTGGGAGTGTGAGGTAAACCTCAGTGTGAGAGAAGCTTCATACTTTGGTGCTGGGTCATGTTGCTGCTAATAAGTTACTCTGCTGAGCATTCATGGGGATGGCCTTTTGTTGATAAGCCTACTCGTCCAACAGATGATTCTGTGAACTCTCCAAAACCTTTTAGTTAGTGGGTCCAAGGCTAGTGTCGTCCTTGGGAGTGTGAGTTAAACCTCAGTGTGAGAGAAGCTTCATACTTTGGTGCTGGGCATGCTGCTGCTAATAAGTTACTCTGCCGTGCATTCATGGGGATGGTCTTTTGTTGATAAGCCTACTCGTCCAACAGATGATTCTGTGAACTCCCATCATCTGTTGATGGAGGTTCTAAATCACCTCCAAAATGCATCCTACTCGTAATATAAATGGAGTTGCTTTTTGGAGCCTTGTTGTTGATTCCCTTGTTGTTGAATCGTGATTCCCAGCCTGGCACGGTTGGCGTGTCGGGTCTTGCAGAGCTGGTAGAACAAAATGGCCATCCCTGGCAGGAACGTGATAAGATGGTTCTCTTCTGCTTTGTTTTGCTCCTCCTGGGGTTTGATCTCCTCCTCGTCGGGCCTCGAAGGAATGTGCAATCTTGCTTTGCACCTCGATTGTTGTGTTTGTTGCAGAGTTGGGATCGAACCAAGTCGGCCGGGGTCTCTCTTTGCCCCCTCTCCTCCCCATTGTCTCTAGGGCTTTGGAAACAGGTGTCGCGCACCTGTCGAAAGGGTGGCAGACCCGCATGGCCTGCGGAGCAGCTGTCGCCCGGAGCCGCAGAAGGCCTGGCGGACATCTTGGCCGTCTCTCCTCGCCCTTTCCGCTCCGAGGGATCTCTCTATCTGCTGGAAGGTGCCCCCATTCTCTCCATTCTTTGACTCTTTGCATTCTCTCCCCTCCCCAGTTTGGAAGGACAGCTTCCAGCACAAAAGCAGCCGCTTCCTGTGTGTTTTGTCATGCAGTGGTCTGCCTTTTAAGCTGAAATCTTTTCAAGTGTGACATTCTCGCCAGTCTCCTTTTGTGGTTTTTAAGGTGCCCCATTTCCTGCTAGGTAAAGCAATACATTGCAATGGCCATGCCCCTTCATCCCTTTGCCCCTTCCACTGTTGACATATGTTGATTTCAGAGGAGGGTTGGTTTTAGCAGTGGGAAAGCGGAAAATATTTCCTCCTTGTCCCTTTATTTTTCTGCAGGAACGCAGTTGGGTAAAAATAGTTCCCAGTGGTGTGTCCTCTTGGCGTGGAATTCTTAGAATTGCTCTCTCAAACATAGGAGGCTTGGATTGCTGCTATAATAATAATAATAATAATAATAATAATAATAATAATAATAATAGCAGCAATAACATCAACAACACTTGGGAAGTGTCCGATGTGTGATCCAATTCAACATCCAACAGAGTGTCTGCTGTGGACACATCTTGTTGTGTTTAATAATAATAATAATAATAATAATAATAGTAATAGACGCTTGGGAAGTGTCCGACATATGATCCAATTCAACAGCCAGCAGAGTGTCTGCTGTGGACGCATCTTGTTGTGTATAATAATAATAATAATAATAATAATAATAATAATAATAATAATAGACGCTTAGAAAGTGTTCGACTTGTGATTTTGTGATACGAAATCCAGCATATAGATCTCTTTTGCTGTGACATACTGTGGTGTCAGTAAAATAATAATAATAATAATAATAATCCAACAACAACCAACAGAGTGTCTGCTGGGATCTGCACATATTCTTCACCAATGCATCACATAGTCCTAGACACTTGAGAAGTGTCCAACTTGTGATCCAATACAACAACCAGCATAGTGATCTTCTTTGCTGTGTGCTTATCTTGTTGTGTTTCAAATAATAATAATAATAATAATAATAATAATAATAATAATAATATAGTAATTCTGTCTTCCTGATTTTGTGATACGAAATCCAGCATATAGATCTTGTTTGCTTTGACATACTGTGGTGTCAGTAAAATAATAATAATAATAATAATAATAATAATAATACAGCCAGCAGAGTGTCTGCTGTGGACTCATCTTGTTATGTTTCAAATAATAATAACAACAACAACCAGAACAACACTTGGAAGTGTTCGACGTGTGATCCAATTCAACAGCAAGCAGAGTGTCTGCTGTGGACGCATTAATAATAATAATAATAATAATAATAATAATAATAATAATAATAATAATAGACGCTTGGGAAGTGTTCAACTTGTGATTTTGTGATACGAAATCCAGCATATAGATCTCAGTTGCTGTGACATACTGTGGTGTCAGTAAAATAATAACAACAACAACAACACTTGGAAGTGTCCGACGTGTGATCCAATTCAACAGCCAGCAGAGTGTCTGCTGTGGACGCATCTTGTTGTGTTTCAAATAATAATAATAATAATAATAATAATAATAATAATAATAGACGCTTGGGAAGTGTTCAGCTTGTGATTTTGTGATATGAAATCCAGCATATAGATCTTGTTTGCTGTGACATACTGTGGTGTCAGTAAAATAATAATAATAATAATAATAATAATAATAATAATAATACAACATCCAGCAGAGTGTCTGCTGTGGACTCATCTTGTTGTGTATAAAATAATAACAACAACAACACTTGGAAAGTGTCCAATGTGTGATCCAGTGCAATAGCCAGCAGAGTGTATACTTAATAATAATAATAATAATAATAATAATAATAATAATCTTTATTTATACCCCTCCACCATCTCCCCAGAGGGGACTCGGAGCGGCTTACATGAGGCCAAGCCCAGTGATACATCACAGCAACATAAAATATAAACAACGAAATAACATCACAATAAAATAAATAAACCAATCAAGTAAAATAAACAGTACAAAATAACATAATGGAAAATAAAACAGTGGGTGGGCCAAATGCACGACATAAAATGATAAAGCTCTGGATGAGATAGCAATAAAAAGAAAAACCGATGAGTTTTCCGGGCTGTCTGGCCATGTTCCAGAGGCATTCTCTCCTGATGTTTTACCCACATCTATGGCAGGCATCCTCAGCAGTTGAGAGGTCTGTTGCAAATTCTACTTCTGCTTTTCCTCCATAAAAACAATACAAATAAAGTCCTTTATACTTCTTTCTTTGCTTCCATACTAGGCTTCTTCCTCATGCAGATAAACAGCTTCTCTTTCACAGAGATTCTCTCACAACGAACTTATAATGGAGCTTCACACAGTAGCTTTTTACACACAGCAGCCTTTATACTAGAGCTTTACACACGAGGCCTTCAACCTGGGACATCTTTCACCGAAGCTTCTCACAGCAGGCCTTCTCACACTCGGCCTTCTCATAGACTAAGACCTACCTCACAGACTAAGGCCTTTCTCCCACTGAGGTTTACCTCAGACTCCTCAGGACAACAATAACTTTGGCCAACGAACTCTTAAAGGCTTCGGCCTACTAATTCTATTTTTCCTCCATAACCATGCTCTTTTTCCTCTCCCGTTTTCCTTCCAGATCCTTCTGAAATCTCCGCCATGGGGGACATGAAGACCCCGGATTTTGACGACCTTTTGGCTGCCTTCGACATTCCGGATATCGACGCCAGCGAGGCCATCCACTCCGGTCAAGAGGAAACGGAGGCCCACATCAAGCCTATCCCAGCAGAGCCAGCGGTCCCTGAGCACAACCTCCCCCATGTTGACATCACCACTGTCAGCGTCATCGTGAAGAATACGGTCTGCCCTGAGCAGCTGGAACCTGTGGATGGGAGGGTCAAGGACCCCCACGCCACCGCCGGCCCACGGCTGCTCCAAAACGGCTTTGCTGCGTCCGAGGTGCCGCATGCCTCTCCTGCCCGCCCAGCGGAAGCAATACCCCCCGCCAACGGAGAGTGTTGGGCACCGAAAGAGAAGACGGCAGCCAAAAGCCTCGATCTCTTCTCCCACTTTGGACCCAATCCTCACGGGGACGATAACGCGGAGGCCAACCTCATTGACCAGCCGCACGAATGCAAACCCAAGGACAAGACCCTCGCGGTGCCTCCCCTCTCCCCGGCCCCTGTACTTTCGGCCGCCCCGCCTTTAGAGCGCCACGAATCCGTCCAGGAGGGTCCTGGGCCACTCACGCCACCCTTCCCTCCATCATTGGATGCCTGTACGACGGGTGGGCCGGGTCTTCCTCTCAATCCTCCTCCACCGCTGCCGCCTCTTCCAGTCATCAAGCAGGAAGCCGACGGCGAGGCGTCCTGCTTGGGAGGCAGTTCGTTGGGCCGTCCAAAATCAGGCTCCGTTTCCTATTCCGCAGACGATTCCCCCGTGGCACCGTGGACTGCTTCAGACAGCAACCTCGGCGGGCCCCACGACAACGATGCCGAAGTCAAGCGTTCCCCCTCCAGCCCACCAAATAAGCTCTTCAAAAGCTCTCCCGGTGCTTCTGCCTCGCCGAAACCTCTCCCCGGCAATCCGGCCTTGAAGGAAGAGCCTGTCGAGAAGCCCGTGCTGTGTACGTCCAGCGGGGAGGAGGGGATGGAGGAGGAAGAGGAGAACGCAGACGAGAGCGATGGGTCTCCCTCATCCAATTCTTCACGGCCCTTGAGGGTGAGGATTAAGATCATCAAGACGTCTTCCGGAAACATCACCAGGACGGTTACGAGGGTGTCTTCGGATTCGGATCCCGGAGCGGCCAAGGCGTTATTGGAGAGTGATTCCCCAGAAGTGACGGTCACCGCCGGCGACGAATCCACGCTTCCTCCCTTAGCAGAGAAGGAGGAGTCCCCCAGCCCCAAAGCCGTGCCCACCAGCCCCGTGAAGGTCGTTGAAGGTCCCAAAATCGTCAGCGTGCAACTTGGCGACGGGACCAAGATCAAAGGGACGGTGCTGCCCGTCTCCACCATCCAGAACGCCAGCAGCGCCATGCTGATGGCTGCCAGCGTGGCCCAGCAGAAGGCCGTGGTCCTGCCCAGCAAAGCCGTGGCCAAGAACATCATCAGCTTGGTCCCGCAGGCCTTGCCCAAAGTTGCCGAAGCGCGGACTGCGCCGGGCCAGCAGTCTCCTGGCGCGAACCAGAAAGTCAATGGCACCACGGTGGTGGTGATGCAACCCCAAAAGTCCGTACCTGCCGTCGCCGGGACGGTCATCTCCCGCAGCCAGTCCAGCCTGGTGGAGGCCTTCAACAAGATCCTGAACAGCAAGAACCTCCTGCCTACCTACAAACCCAACCTGGTCCCGCCGGCGGAGTCCAGCCTCTCCCTGCCGCCTCTGGGGTTCCGCTGCCTCGAGTGCGGGGACGCCTTCGCCCTGGAGAAGAGCCTGGCTCGGCACTACGACCGGCGCAGCATGCGCATCGAGGTGACCTGCAACCACTGCACCAAGCGCCTGGTCTTCTTCAACAAGTGCAGCCTCCTCCTCCACGCCCGCGAACACAAGGACAAAGGGCTGGTCATGCAATGCTCTCATCTAGTCATGCGCCCTATCGCCCTGGACCAGATGATCGGGCAGCCCGACATCATGCCGCTGGCCTCCTTGGCCTCCCTTAGCACCAACAAGGCGGCCGCCGTAGCCTCCGCCGCCATGACGCAAGAGGCCCTGGCAGTGGCTGCCTCCGCCACCGGCGTGGCTTCCTCTCAGGACTTGCCGGTCTTACCTTTGAACGGTGGCACGGAGCCGGCGACCACCAACTCGTGCCAGTGCCTGGAGTGCAAGGAACAGTGCAAGGATAAGGCCGGCCTTGCCGCTCACTTCCAGCAGACCGCCTCTTCCACCTCCACGGTATAAATATGGAGGGAATTATGGGAGGGAGGGGAGGATGAGGTGACTGACAGGCCTCAATCTTGGATGTAACATGACCATTTATGGGGACAGACATTGCCACGTTTGGGGGCATGTTCATGTTATTTATTTATTTATTTATCGTGTCAGAAACTAGTCGGGGGAACAGTTAAAATGCATTTACAAACACAAACAATGGGTTGTTTTCAGGCTATATGGCCATGTTCTAGAGGCATTCTCTCCTGACGTTTCGCCTGCATCTATGGCAAACATCCTCAGAGGTTGTGAGGGGGCATGTTCGTGTTATTTATTTATTTATTGTGTCAGAAACTAGTTGAGGGTACAGTTAAAATGCATTTACAAACACAAACAATGGGTTGTTGTAGGTTTTTTCGGGCTATATGGCCATGTTCTAGAGGCATTCTCTCCTGACGTTTCGCCTGCATCTATGGCAACCATCCTCAGAGGTTTTGGAGATTCCTGGTTTTTCCAATAATATTGTGGTGATGAGGAGTATTACATGTCCAGAATACATGGGTTGTTGTAGGTTTTTTCGGGCTATATGGCCATGTTCTAGAGGCATTCTCTCCTGACTTTTCGCCTGCATCTATGGCAAACATCCTCAGAGGTAGTGAGGGGGCATGTTCGTGTTATTTATTTATTTATTGTGTCAGAAACTAGTCGAGGGTACAGTTAAAATGCATTTACAAACACAAACAATGGGTTGTTGTAGGTTTTTCCGGGCTATATGGCCATGTTCTAGAAGCATTCTCTCCTGACGTTTCGCCTGCATCTATGTCAGGCGCCCTCTGTGGTTGTGAGGATGCTTGCCATAGATGCAGGCGAAAAGTCAGGAGAGAATGCCTCTAGAACATGGCCATATAGTCCGAAAAAACCTACAACAACCCATAGATGCAATTCTTAGTCCCAACTAGCAAAGTAAATGTATTGTCGAAGGCTTTCATGGCCTGGAATCATTGCGTTGTAGGTTTTTCAGTTTGTATGCCCATGTTCTAGAAGCATTCTCTCCTGATGTTTCGCCTGCATCTATTGCAGGCATTCTCAGAGGTTGTAAGGTTTGTTGGAAAAAGAAAAGGAGGAGGAGTAGGATGGATGGAAGGAGGGGAAGGATAAAGGAAAAGAAAGGAAATACAAAAGGGAAGGAAGGAAGAGGAAAGAAGGAGAGAGGGAGGAAAGAAGGGAAGGATGAAAGTGTGGAAGGAAGGATGGAGGAGAAAGAAGGAAGGGAAAGAGAGAAGGAAGGGAAGGGGAGGAAGGAAGGAGAGAGAAGGAAGGAAGGACAAAACGGTGGAAGGGAAGGAGGAAGGAGAAGGACGCTGCCCGGAGTCCCGCTTGTGGTGAGAAGGGCGGGTATTAGAAATTATATGTATAATCAATAGCCTAGTAAGAAAGGAGGGAGGGAAGGAAGGAGGGAGAAAAAGGGAAAGAGGAAGGAAAGAGGGAAGGAGAAGGGTGGAAAGGAGGAAAGGAGAAAGGGAAGAAAGGAGAAGGAGAAAGGAAAGAGAGAAAAGGAAAGGAAGGGGGAGGGAAGGGAAGGAAAGAGGGAAGAGGGAAGGAAGGATGAAGGGGTGGAAGGGAAGGAAGGAGGGAGGGAAAGAGGGAGGAAGAGAGAAGGAAGGCAAGAAAAGGTGGAAGAGAAAGATGAGAAGGAGGGAGGAAAAAGGAAAAGGGGAAAGGAAGGCTGAAAGGAGAAAGAGGGAAGGAAGAAAGGGTAGAAGAGAGAAGGAAGAGAAAGGAGAGGGAAGGAAGGACGAAGGGGTGGAAGGGAAGGGGAAGATAGAGTGAAGGAGGAAAGCAAGAGATAAGGAAGGCAAGAAAGGGTGGGAAGGAAGGAGAGAGGGAGGAAAGAAAGGATGAAAGGATGAAAGAGTGGAAAGGTAGGCTGAAAGGAAACAGAGGGAAGGGAGGTGGAAGGAAAGAGACAAGGAAGGCAAGAAAGGGTGGAAGAGAGGGATGGAGGAAGGAAGAACGAAAGGGTTGAAAGGAAGGCTGAAAGAAGAAAGAGGGAAGGGAGGGAAGTAAGGAGGAAGGAAAGAGAGAAGGAAGGAAAGAAAGGGTGGAAGGAAGGGAAGGAATTAGAAAGGGAGGGAAGGAAGGAAGGACAAGGGTAGAAGGGAAGGGGAAGAGAGAGGGAAGGAGGAAGGCAAGAGAGAAGGAAGGATAGGATGCTGAGAGAGAGGAGGGCCTGAGAAAAGAGCCCAAGGGGCCGCATCTGGCCCCCGGGCCTGGGTTTGCCCATACCTGAACTAGAGTGTGAACCAATTGGTTCAAATCAAAACGAGAGTCCACGTCAACATTGAGAAAAAAACCTCTTGATCATAGGAGCAGTTTGGGAGTGGAATAGCCTGCCTTCTTTGATGTTTCTTCAGATCGATTGGGCTTTTCTTGAAAGCGCAAAGCCTTGGCAAAGCGAGGGGCAACTCCTTTTCCTGGGGATCTGTGGGGTCGCTGAGCGAATCATGCCTCTTGCCACTGAATGGATTCACAGCCTCTGCTCCTTTCCCCCTTTTTGTTTTCCTTCCTCCGGAAAGGTCTGCAGCACCTGCCCCATGATCATGCCCAACCGCTGCAGCTTCAGCGCCCACCAGCGCATGCACAAGAGCCGCCCGCCCCACGTCTGCCCCGAGTGCGGGGGCAACTTCCTCTTGGCGAACTTCGAAGCTCACCTCAAGGACGCCTGCCTCCATTTCTCCCGAAGGATCGGCTACAGGTAAGAGCAATGACTTTTTGCAATAACCTGGCTAATGCCAGGTACCCAAGCTAGTTTGATATAAAATAAACCTTTTGTAGACCTTTCGTTGCTATTAGGTATATAATAGGCATGAAAATTCAACATTTACTGATAGTAATAGCTTTCTCTGCCTTCCCAAACGGGCCGCTTCTCATCTCTTCTGGTTCCTCCTGTTCTTGTGTTCGCTTCCTTAGGTGTCCGAGCTGCTCGGTCGTGTTTGGAGGGGTCAACTCCATCAAGTCCCACATCCAGGCCTGCCACTGCGAAGTCTTCCACAAGTGCCCCATCTGCCCCATGGCGTTCAAGTCGGCCCCCAGCGCCAACGCCCACATTTTCACCCAGCACCCCGGCTTCGGCACCCAGTTGCCCAAGTAAGGAGACAACAACAGCCTATGTGTCTGTGCTGCGTCCGTTGTGTGTCACTAAGTTGGGACACAGACCCCATAGGTCCTCATGTTGTGGTGACCCCCAACCATAACATTATTTCTGTTGCTACTTCATAACTGTAGTTTTGCTCCTGTTATGAATCGTAATGTAAATATCTGGTATGCAGGATGTATTTTCATTCACTGGACCAAATTTGGCACAAAATTTGAATGCTGGTAGGGTTGGAAGGGGATTGATTTTGTCATTTGGGAGTTGTAGTTGCTTGGATTTATAGTTCACCTATAATCAAAGAGCAGCCTGAACTCCATCAATGATAAAATTGGGCCAAATTTGGCGCACAGAACTCACATGACCAACAGGGTTTGTTGGGCATTGACCTTGAGTTTGGGAGTTGTAGTTCACCGACATCCAGAGAGTGATGGAGCTGGACCAAACTCGACACAAATACTCAATGCGCCCAAATGTGAACACTGGTGGAGTTTGGGGAAAATAGACCTTGGCATTTGGGAGTTGCAGTTGCTGGGATTTATAGTTCACCTACAAGGAAGCAGGCCTCAATGTATGCCTCGGAGAATGTTGCTGCTAACCATAGAACCATAGGGGTGGAAGTGACCCCAAGGACCATTCACTTCAAATCCATTTCATGCTGAAAGACACCATCAGAGCCCTCTTGGTAGAGGGCCATCCTGCCTCTGCCTAAAATCCAGAAAGCCCTCCCTTTTGGGTCTAGTGTTGATGTTAATCTATCCCCTTTGCTTTCTCCAGGCTGATCTACAAGTGCGCCATGTGCGACACGGTCTTCACCCACAAGCCCCTGCTCTCCTCCCACTTTGACCAGCACCTGCTCAACCAGAGGGTGAGCGTCTTCAAGTGCCCCGACTGCCCTCTCCTCTTCGCCCAGAAGCGGACGATGATGGAGCACCTCAAGGTGAGATATAGGGAGACCCTCACCCCTTCTAGGCCCACACTATTTTATTTTATTTTTTATTTTTATTATTATTATTATTTATTATTTTTATTATTTTATTTTATTTTATTTTATTTATTTACGACATTTATATGCCGCCCTGCTCACCCCAAAGGGGACTCAGAGTGGCTTACAATGTATATATGCATACAATATATTATATCATTAGTACAGTGCAATATCAGCATTAAATATTACTATATTGTACTATACCATTGTATTGTAATATTATTAGTAATATTATATGTAATATAATACATAATTATAAAACATTGTATTTTTATTAGTATTATATTGCATTACATTGTAATATTATAAACATATGTGTATACAATATATTTTATTGTTATTATATTAAATTATATTACTATAATTATATTATATATATTATTATATTAAATTATATTATTAGAGTAGCACAGGAGACAAAGTGGAACTGTCCCCTGCCCCCCCCCCCTCTCTTCACTCTGGCCCAGAGCAGCAGTTTGTGCTGAAGGGAGGGGTCCCCAACTGATGACATATGCAGGAGACAAGATGGAACTGTCCCTTGGGCCCCTCCCTCTTCACTCTGGCGCACAGCGGCAGTTGGTGGTGGGGAGAGGGGTCCCCAACTGATGACATATGCAGGAGACAAGGTGGAACTGTCCCTGGCCCCCTCTCTCTTCACTCTGGCTCAGAGCAGCAGTTGGAGCTGTGCGGAGAGGTCCCCAACTGATGACATATGCAGTAGACAAGGTGGAACTGTCCCCTGGCCCCCTCTCTCTTCACTTTGTCCCAGAGGGGTTGTTGGTGCTGGGGAAGGGGTCCCCAAGTGATGACGTATGCAGGAGACAAGATGGAACTGTCCCCTGGCACCCTCTCTCTTCACTCAAGATGGAACTTTTGTTTACAATTTCCTCGAATGTCTTTCTCCTCCTTAGAAATGGCTAACGTCAGCCCTGACCCCGTCTTGGGATAATAATAATGGGTTGTTCTCTGGTTTCTGAGGTGTATGGCCATGTTGTAGCAGCATTTTCTCCTGATGTTTTGCCTGTATCTGTGGCTAGCATCTACAGGCACTAACCTCCCACCACTCCTTCCTCTCATTGTGTAAAAGAAATCCCATCCGCCCCAGAAGCCCAAAGAAGAGCCTACCAAGAAGCTGCCTGCTGCCGCTCCTGCTGCCCCTGTTGCTCCTGCTCTGACCCCCAAGCAAGAACCCATCGAAGAGCCCCCTCCACCCTCCGCCGCCAAGGTCTCAGATTCCTCGCCCTCCTCTTCGTCTGAAGACGAGGAGCCGCCCAGCTCCCCTGAGGTGCGCAAGGCCAAGAGGGGCCGCTTCCAGCAACGGAGAACCGGGGCCAGCGGACGCTCGCGCAGCAACGGCTGGACCTGCGGCATCTGCCACTCCTGGTTCCCCGAGCGGGACGAGTACGTCGTCCACATGAAGAAGATCCACGGGAAGGTGAGTGTGGGCCACAGTGGGATTAAGCCTTTCATATTTATTATTATTTATTATTTATATACATGAAGCCGTTGGGAGAGATCATCCGGAGTTTCGGGGTGCGGTGCCATATGTACGCGGATGATGTCCAACTCTGTCACTCCTTTCCACCTGCTACTAAGGAGGCTGTTCAGGTCCTGAACCGGTGCTTGGCCGCTGTGACGGTCTGGATGAGGGCAAACAAATTGAAATTGAATCCAGACAAGACAGAGGTACTCCTGGTCAGTCGCAAGGCCGAACAGGGCATAGGGTTACAGCCTGTGTTGGATGGGGTCGCACTCCCCCTGAAGATGCAGGTTCGCAGCTTGGGTGTGATCCTGGACTCATCGCTGAGCCTGGAACCCCAGGTTTTGGCGGTGACCAGGGGAGCATTTGCACAGCTAAAGCTTGTGCGCCAGCTGCGCCCGTACCTTGGGAAGTCTGACTTGGCCACGGTAGTCCACGCTCTGGTTACATCCCGTATAGACTACTGCAATGCGCTCTACGTGGGGTTGCCTTTGAAGACAGTCCGGAAGCTTCAATTAGTCCAACGAATGGCAGCCAGATTGCTAACAGGAGCGGCTCTCAGGGAGCATACAACTCCCCTGTTGCGTCAACTCCACTGGCTGCCGGTTTGCTACCGGGCCCAATTCAAAGTGCTGGTCTTGGCCTATAAGGCCCTAAACGGTTCTGGCCCAACTTACCTGTCCGAACGTATCTCCCCTTATGAACCATCAAGGACCTTGATATCGTCCGGGGAGGCACTTCTCTCAGTCCCGCCTTCATCTGAGGTGCGTTTGGCGGGGACGAGAGACAGGGCCTTCTCAGCGGTGGCCCCCCGGCTATGGAACGCCCTCCCTAGAGAGATTAGATCTGCTCCCTCCCTTCTCACGTTTCGGAAGCAAGTCAAAACATGGCTGTTTGAGCAAGCTTTCTCAAACACAGAGTAACGGATATGGATAAATGACATAGGAATGGATGATTGACGATGGAACTGGTCAATGCTTGACAATAAGGAGACACTAATGATGTTGTTTTTATTGTTGTTGTGGTTTATGTAATTGAAAAGCTTTAAAATGTTCTATGATACTGTGTATACTGTTTTGAGTCGCCAATACGCTGAGAAAGGCGGTATACAAATACAGTAAATAAAATAAATAAATAACTAAATTGATATCACCATCCGCTTCAGGCGCACCGCAACAAGCCATTGTGACCTCCCTCCCTCTGCACAAAGTGGCCTGCCTAAGGCCACACTCACACACTACATAAAATAAAATATGGCTCCCGAGTCCACTCTACGGTGCATGTGGAGTCTTTGTGCCATTCGAAGAAGAGCTCTTCTTGACAACAGCTAGTGCGCAGAAGTCACTTCCAATTAACAAGAACAAAATAGCTTCCCCTGGCCCTTAAGTGGCCCCAGGGTCCAAAACTGAGGCAACCTGTTAGGGATTCCTCATCTTCAGAAGAGGAGAAAGGAAGTGCTCAGGAATTGGAGAAGAAGAATCAGACGATGAGGGTTTGAAAGTGCCCACATTTCTAGAGAGACGAAAAGAGACAGAGCACAGACGGCGTTCAGCTAGGATAGCTGCTAAAAATGCTGAGCTAATTGGGAGATGCCCTAGCACCTCCTGCATGGGGAATTCAGGGCTATAAATCAGGCAGGAGCAGTCAGCTTTCACTGCTAACAACAATCCTGATACTGATTTTTTTCACTCCAATGGAATCTGCTTTGTGTCTGCTACTGAGAACTTAGTGATCATTGCCCGTTGTCTGATGGAAGACTGCTGTTTCTTTTGGGACTTTGTAAGAGACTTTAATTTGTGTCTGCATTAAGACTTCCTTGTTTTCTTTTGCACTTTTCAATTGCGTTTGCCCAAGTAAAGCATTTTTCTTTTACTTTCAACATTGTCTAAAGGCTGTTTTTGGAGGGCAACTCAGGACACAACCCCCCCCCCCACCCCACCCCTCCTGGAGAGCATATTGGGGTAGTTGGGAAGAACTACATGGCACGTCAGGGCTGTCGAGGCCCGACTCCTCTGCAAATGGATTTGTGACGCTCCATAGGTTGAGCTGTGACCATTCCCTCCCTTCTCTCTTTCCAGTGCGTGAAGAAGTTTCCCTGCCACCTCTGCGAACGCTCCTTCTGCTCGGCCCCCAGCCTCCGGAGGCACGTCCGGGTGAACCACGAGGGCATCAAGCGCGTCTACCCCTGCCGGTAGGGACCCCTTCGTCCTCCCCATCATCTGGGACTGTCGGGGACACACAGGTTGGCGCCTGCAGGGGTTATTTGGCCCACTGCAGGCTTTGGAATTCGCTTAGGCTTTGGAATTCGCTGGTCTTTGGTGGGTTTGTTTTTTAGTGCAGTCCGCCGTCTTAGTTTTAGGAGGTGTATGAACCTCTTTCTGGATTCTGTTGAACAAGCTATAATTGGATATTACAAAAAATAACTGCACTTTTCTGAGGAAAAGGAACTTGGTTTATTTTATTTTATTTTTTATTTTATTTTTTTACAGTGGAGGTTAGCCTAGACTTTCTGTTTTCTTTCTTTCCCTTATTTTTTCCTTCCTTCCATCCATCTTTCTTTCCTCCTTCCTTCCTTCCTCTCCTTCCCCTTCCTTCCTTCCTCCTCCTTTTTCCTCCTTCCCTCCTTCCCTCCTTTCTTCCTGTCTTCCTTCCTTCCTCCTCTTCCTTTCTTTCCTTTTCTCCTTCTTTCCTTCTCCTCTCTTTTCTTTCCTTCCCTCTCTCCCTCCCTTCCTTCTTTCCATCCTCTTCCTTCCTTCCTTCCTTCCTCCTTCCATCCATCCATCCATCTTTCCTTCCTTTCCTCCCTCCTCCTTTCCTTCCTTCCCTTCTTCCTTCCTCCCTCTTCCTTCCTTCCCTTCCCTTCTTTCATTCCTTTCCTTCTCTTCTTTCCCTCCTTCCTTCCCCCCCTTCCTTTTTCCTCCTTCTTCTTCCTCCTCCTTCCCTTTCCTTCCTTCCTTTCCTCTTCCTTTCCTCCCTCCTTCCTTCCTTCTTTCTTTCTTCCTCCTCCTTCCCTTCTTTCTTCCCTTTTCCCTCCCTCCTTCGTTCCTTCCTCCTTTCTTCCCATCCATCCATCCATCTTCCCTTCTTCAATGCCTTCATCCTTCTTTCCTTCCTGTCTTCCTTCTTTTCATCCATCCATTCATCTAAGAATGAAGTCGCCAAATTGCTGAGTTACTTTTTCAGGGCATGGTAAGAGGAATTCTACCTTCTTATCCACCCAAGGGGGTAGGTTTTTCCCCTCCCTATAAAAAGTAAGAGACCGTAAAAGAGGAACAGGTTGTCTGAAGAAGCCATCCAATGCCTTATTTACCCTGACCGCAAAGCTCCTTTTTCTGCAAAACCTTTTTGCATTGCCTTGTTATCATTCTCCTAGTTCTCTGAGTGGCTGGAAATCCTTTTTAGCACGATCTGCATTAAAACTAACAAGAAGAAGAACAAGAGGACTTTTCAGTGTTGGGTTGCAGAACGTGTGTCTGCGGGACACAATGCAGTAAAGTTGAGCTTGGGAAAGAGCGGGATTTGACTCTCGCCAGTCTCAGAGTGGCTTTCCAGGCTCTAATCCTCACAGCTTCTCTTTTGGCTCTCCTCCGCAGGTACTGCACGGAAGGCAAGCGTACCTTCAGCAGCCGCCTGATCCTGGAGAAGCACATCCAGGTGCGCCACGGCATCAAAGTGACTGACGACACCCAGAGCCAGGAGGTACTCCTCACCCGCTCAGGACCCAGGAACCTGCAGGTAGAGGGGCCGTGGGGGAATTGGGTGGTGGTCTCCATCTAAGTTCTAACCAGGCCTGACCTTGCTTAGTATGCAATATGGGATAGAATTTGATGCCTTTAAGGTATTATTTGTCAGAAATATTAAAAATGAACTAGGTATTTTTATTACAAAAGTGTGAGTCAAGCATTGAAAGAGTTAGTAGGCTGAAGCCTGTTAGAGTCAGTGAGCCAAAGCTAGTGTCGTCCTGAGGAGTGTGAGGTAAACCTCAGTGTGTGAGAAGCTTCAGGGAAAGAAGCCCCAGGTTAAAGGCCTTGTATGTAAAGCTGTATGTGAAGCTCCTATGTGAAGCTCCTGGATAATTTCGGTGAGAGCAAAGCTGTTTATTTGCATGAAAAAGATGCCCAGCATGGAAGCAAAGAAGGAAGTATAAAGGACTTAGTGTTATGGAAACCTTGTTATTGTAAACAGTGCAACCACATTATTTTACTACAAAGAAAAGCCTCCTATGGAAGAGAGAACATTGGTCAGTGTGTTTTAGTTCTTATGACTTTGGGCTACTGATGCTGGGTCACGCTGCTGCTGCTAAGTTGCTCTACTATACATTCATGGGGAGTGTGAGGTAAACCTCAGTGTGTGAGAAGCTTCAGTGAAAGAAGCCCCAGGCTAAAGTCCCCATGTGTAAAGCTATTGTGTGAAGCTCCTGTGTAATTTCGGTGTAAGAAGAGGCTCTGTGAGAGCAAAGCTCTTTATCTGGATGAGAAAGAAGCTCAGCGTGGAAGCAAAGAAGGAAGTATAAAGGAGTATGAATGTATTGTCGAAGACTTTCATGGCTGGAATCACTCAGTTCTTGTGGGTTTTTTCGGGCTATAAATGCCTCTAGAACATGGCCATATAGCCCGAAAAAACCCACAAGAACTGAGTATAAAGGAGTATATTTGTATTATGGAAACCTTGTTATTGTAAACAGTGCAACCACATTATTTTACTACAAAGAAAAGCCTCCTATGGAAGAGAGAACATTGGTCAGTGTGTTTTAGTTCTTATGACTTTGGGCTACTGATGCTGGGTCACGCTGCTGTTGCTAAGTTGCTCTACTATACATTCATGGGGAGTGTGAGGTAAACCTCAGTGTGTGAGAAGCTTCAGTGAAAGAAGCCCCAGGCTAAAGTCCCCATGTGTAAAGCTATTGTGTGAAGCTCCTGTGTAATTTCGGTGTAAGAAGAGGCTCTGTGAGAGCAAAGCTCTTTATCTGGATGAGAAAGAAGCTCAGCGTGGAAGCAAAGAAGGAAGTATAAAGGAGTATGAATGTATTGTCGAAGACTTTCATGGCTGGAATCACTCAGTTCTTGTGGGTTTTTTCGGGCTATAAATGCCTCTAGAACATGGCCATATAGCCCGAAAAAACCCACAAGAACTGAGTATAAAGGAGTATATTTGTATTATGGAAACCTTGTTATTGTAAATAATGCAACCATATTATTTTACTACAAAAAAAGCTTCCTATGGAAGAGAGAACATTGGTCTGTGTGTTTTAGTTCTTATGACTTCGGGCTACTGATGCTGGTTCACGCTGCTGCTGATAAGTTACTCTGCTATACATTTATGGGGAGTGTGAGGTAAACCACAGTGTGTGAGAAGCTTCAGTGAAATAAGCCCCAGGTTGAAGGTCTTGTGTGTAAAGCTGTATGTAAATTACTGTTTGAGGCTCCTGTATAATTTCAGTGAGAGGCGGCTCTGTGAGAGCAAAGCATAAGAAAGAAGCCCAGCATGGAAGCAAAGAAGGAAATATAAAGAATTTTATTTGTGTTATAGAAACCTTAGAGTCAGTGGGCCAAAGCTAGTGTTGTCCTGAGGAGAGTGAGTAGGCTGAAGGTGAAAGAAGCTCCAGGTTAAAGGCCCCGTGTGTAAAGCTGTATGTGAAGCTACTATGAGAAGCTCCTGTGTAGGAAGAGGCTCTGTGAGAGCAAAGCTGTTTATCTGCATGAGAAAGAAGCCCAACGTGGAAGCAAAGAAGGAAGTATAAAGGACTTTTTTTGTGTGGAAATCTTGTTCCCATATTATTTTACTACAGAGAAAAGCCTCCTATGGGAGAGATCACATTGGTCTGTGTGTTTTTGTTCCTATGTTTTGTGTGCTGGTTCATGCTACTGCTGTTAAGTTACTCATGGGGGGAGGGTCTTTTGTTAATAAGCCCACTCACCCAACAGTAATCTTTGAGTATCAACAGACGACTCTTTCCTTCCCTCCCTTTTGCAGGCGTCGCTCCGGAAGCGCAAGCTCTCCTCGGACGAAGGGGACTCCTGCAGCGAGGAGCCGGACAGCACCACCCCGCCTTCCAAGACCCACAAAGGCGACCGGAAGCCCCCCTTCACCTGCCGCAAGTGCGGCTACGCGGCTTCCTCGGCGGCCGACTTCCAGGAGCACATCCCCCAGCACCGGACAGGCGAGAGCGCCCACCAGTGCCGGGAGTGCGGGCTGTGCTTCACCTCGCAGGTCTCCCTCAACCGCCACCGCTTCATCACCCACAAGAAGAAGCGGGGGGCCGGGCCGGGCTCCGATCCCCCAGAGGAGGACCCCCCGACTCCTGGCGAGGGCCGGCTCTCCTGCACCGTCTGCGGTAAGGCCTTCGACACCGAGCTCAACCTCAAGACTCACTTCCGCACCCACGGCATGGCCTTCATCAAAGCCCGGCAGAACGTCGGGGCGGAGAATTAAACCGGGGCAAACCCGATCCAGACGTTGGAGGGCGGCGGTCCTATCCTCACTCTCATTTTGACGCCGAGTGATGGCAGAGAGGTTGGAATCGGGGAACGAACAAACAGCCAGGAACGAGGGCCTTATTTATAACGTTCAATTTGCCTCTTCCAACGAAAGTCTCGTCTGACGGGTTTCGGTTCCGTATTTGGTTTCCAAAGGGCTGAAACTATTCCGGGGGCAAACGGAAACCCCACGTACGAGGATGTAGACCTCCAAGGACCGGGATATGGATCTCCCCGTGCGGGGAAGTTTGTGAATCACTGTAAAAGGCGGGAGGTTTGTTCTTCCTTCTGGGGTTTGTTCATTCATCCTTTTTAAAAATTTCTTCCTTCGTTTGTTCTTTTCCTAGCACACCGTAGCATTAACCAGGCACTAGGTTTGAGCGGAGTTCTCTCTTTTCTCGCCAAGGTTTGATTCCTCCCAGAGATAGGTGTCTTGCTCCCATCCTCTCCGTCTTCCTCCAATTTCAAAGTCTGTGTTTCAGTTACCTTCCTTTCCACAGAATCATGGGTTGTCTTCTTCCCTTCCTGGGCCGGAGCAATTGCTCCCCACCAACCGACGGGTGCTTTTTCTATGTGCTTCCGGTGCTTTCCAAGCCATTCCAAAGGCATATTAGAGTCAGTGGCATAAAGGTAGTCTCGTTCTGAGGAGAGCGAGTAGGCCGAAGCCTGTTAAGAGTCCTGAGGAGTGTGAGGTAAACCTCAGTGTGAGAAAAGCTTTGGTGAGAGGCAGAACGACTCCTTAATGACTCCTTAAAAACAATAACAGCTTTGGTAGTCACCCTGAAGACTGTGAGGTAAAACTCAGTGTGAGAGAAGCTTTGGTGAGAGGCAGAACGACTCCTTAAAAACAACCACAGCTTTGGTAGTCATCCTGAGGAGTGTGAGGTAAACCTCAGTGTGAGAGAAGCTTTGGTAAGAGGCAGAACGACTCCTTAAAAAAATTACATTTTGGTAGTCATTCAAAGGAGTGCAAGGTAAACCACAGTGTGAGAAAAGCTTTGGTGAGAGGTAGAACGACTCCTTAATGACTTCTTAAAAACAGTCACAGCTTTGGTAGTCATCCTGAGGAGTGTGAGGTAAACCTCAGTGTAAGGGACGCTTTGCTGAGAGGCAGTATGACTCCTTAACGACTCCTTAGAAAGAATCACAACTATGGTAGTCATCCTGAGGAGTGTGAAGTAAACCTCTGTGTAAGAGAAGCTTTAGTGAGAGGCAGAACAACTCCTTAAAAAAAATTACAGCTTTGGTAGTCATTCTGAGGAGTGTGAGGTAAACCTCAGTGTGAAAAAAGCTTTGGTGAGAGGCAGAACGACTCCTTAACGACTCCTTAAAAACAATGACAGCTTTGGTAGTCACCCTGAAGAGTGTTAGGTAAACCTCAGTGTGAGAAAAACTTTGGTGAGAGGCAAAACGACTCCTTAAAAACAATCACAGCTTTGGTAGTCATCTTAGGTAGTCATTCTGAGGAGTGTGAGGTAAACCTCAGTGTGAGAGAAGCTTTGTTGAGAGGCAGAACCACTCCTTAACGACTCCTTAAAAACAATCACAGCCTTGGTAGTCATTCTGAGGAGTGTGAGGTAAACCTCAGTGTGAGAGAAGCTTTGGTGAGAGCCAGAACGACTCCTTAAAAACATTCACAGCTTTGGTAGTCATTTTCGGAAGCATTCTTTCCTGACATTTCGCCCACATCTGTGGCAGGCATCACAGAGAATGCTTCCGGAACATGGCCAGACAGCCTAGAAAACACACAACAACCTATGTTATGGTGCTTACATATTTATTCTTTCCTCCCCCCATTCCCAACTGGGAAAATGCCAAAGCTGGGCCTTTGGAAGGTTGGTGGACTCCAGTTCCCATTATCCTTCCTCGCTCTGCCCAGAATGGCCGAATCCGACGGTACTTGGAGTCCACCCGACTGTTTTTCAGTCTTTTGTTTTGGAAATGCAGCTTCTTGAATCATGTTCTGACAAATCCCGCTTCCAGATCATGCTGTCAATCTTTACCAATCATGATATCGATCTTCCGCCCGCTTACCGCTCCGATTTGGACCCATCTTCAGGGATGGAATTATGTCTCGTCTTCCAAACAGTCTCCTGACTGGCAAAACATTCCTAGATTGCAAAGCCCACAATCTGCTGGAAACGGCAGCTTGTTTCTCTTCTTTTCCTTCCTTCCTTCCTTCCTTCCTTCCTTCCTTCCTTCCTTCCTTCCTTCCTTTTTAAATACATAGTGCAAACGGAGGATCCCGAAGCTCCTGATACCTGTTCCGGTGCTTGAAATCATGTCTGTTCTCTATTGATTTGGATCAGGATGGAGAGAGGCTCCTCCTTGTTGTAGTCACTTGAATATTTGTTTTTTCTTGGTTTTGTTTTTTGGGGTTCTTTGGGGTGTTTGTCACATTAACCAAGTATACACTTCAAAAACAAAATTTCGAGTCCGACGACGGTTGTTTTCTTTGCGGAGAGCAAAGGGAGTTGTGTCTTATTTTGACTCGTTTGGCATAAAGATCTGTTTGGAGAGTCCAACCAAATGGGGACGGACTATAACTCCCAAATTAATCAAGGCCGGGGATTGTCGTCCAAGACCTCGAGGAAGAAAAGCGGGCGAATTCGTGAGAGGCAGAACGACTCCTTAAAAACAACCACAGTTTTGGTAGTCATCTTAGGTAGTCATTCTAAGGAGTGTGAGGTTAACCTCAGTGTGAGAGAAGCTTTGGCGAGAGGCAGAACAACTCCTTAACGACTCCTTAAAAACAGTCACAGCTTTGGTCGTCATTCTAAGGAGTGTGAGGTAAACCTCAGTGTGAGAGAAGCTTTAGTGAGAGGCWGAACGACTCCTTAACGACTCCTTAAAAACAGTCACWGCTTTGGTAGTCATCTTAGGTAGTCATTCTGAGGAGTGTGAGGTTAACCTCAGGGTGAGGGAAGCTTTGGTGAGAGGTAGAATGACCCCTTAATTACTCCTTAAAAACAGTCCCAGCTTTGGTAGTCATCTTAGGTAGTCATTCTGAGGAGTGTGAGGTTATCTTCAGGGTGAGAGAAGCTTTGGTGAGAGGTAGACTGACCCCTTAATTACTCCTTAAAAACAGTCACAGCTTTGGTAGTCAGGTAGTCATTCTGAGGAGTGTGAGGTAAACCTCAGTGTGAGAGAAGCTTTCATGAGAGGCAGAACGATTCCTTAATTACTCCTTAAAAACAGTCACAGCTTTGGTCGTCATTCTAAGGAGTGTGAGGTTAACCTCAGGGTGAGGGAAGCTTTGGTGAGAGGTAGAATGACCCCTTAATTACTCCTTAAAAACAGTCACAGCTTTGGTAGTCATCTTAGGTAGTCATTCTGAGGAGTGTGAGGTTAACTTCAGGGTGAGAGAAGCTTTGGTGAGAGGCAGAACGACCCCTTAATTACTCCTTAAAAACAGTCACAACTTTGGTAGTCAGGTAGTCATTCTGAGGAGTGTGAGGTAAACCTCAGTGTGAGAGAAGCTTCAGTGAGAGGCTGAACGACYCCTTAACAACTCCTTAAAAGCAATCACAGCTTTGGTCGTCATCCTGAGGAGTGTGAGGTAAACCTCAGTGTGAGAGAAGCTTCGTTGAGAGGCAGAACGACTCCATCACAGCTCCTTTAAAACAACCACAGTTTTTGTAGTAATCTTAGGTAGTCATTCTGAGGAGTGTGAGGTAAACCTCAGTGTGGGAGAAGCTTTGGTGAGAGGCGGAACAACTCCTTAACGACTCCTTAAAAACAGTCACAGCTTTGGCAGTCATTCTGAGGAGTGTGAGGTAAACCTCAGTGTGAGAGAAACTTTGGTGAGAGGCAGAATGACTCCTTAAAAACAATCGCAGCTTTGGTAGTCAACTTAGGTAGACATTCTGAGGAGTGTGAGGTAAACCTCAGTGTGAGGGAAGCTTTGGTGAGAGGCAGAACAACTCCTTAACAACTCCTTAAAAGCAATCACAGCTTTGGTAGTCATCCTGAGGAGTGTGAGGTAAACCTCAGTGTGAGAGAAGCTTTGGTGAGAGGCAGAACGACTCCTTAACTGACGTTTCGCCCACATCCATAGATGTGGGCGAAACGTCAGGAGAGAATGCTTCTGGAACATGGCCAGACAGCCCGGAAAACTCATAGCAACCCAGATGATGTCATCCTTTTCTTTCAATTCTTCCAACACCTCTTTGGACTTGGCTCCTTCTCCCCCCTCCATTTTTTAAAAAATATTGACAAAATTTCCCAAAAAAATATTAAATAGTGTAAATGATGTTTCATAGAAATTTCTATTGGGGGACAAGAGGCCGCTGCTTTGTAATTATTCGTGGCTGAATTTACGACCCTCCCGCCCCTCGCACTCCAGTGCCTTTAGGTCTATATATATATATAAATATATATATCTTGTGGGGTTTTCTTTTTGTTGTATGGTTTTTAACGGGAGAGAAAAAGAGACAATGGATCCTGTATCTCTGTTTTCTAACCTGGGAGGGGCGGGCAAGTGGGGACAAACTGTGAACCGAATGATTATGCGACATTATTAAAGAAAAGAATTAGTCACTGGATAAAAAAACGACAATGTCTCGCAGGTAACTCCGTCTACTTCATATCAGTTTGGGTTTTTTGTTTGGTGATTTCGATGGGAGAAATCGGCCTTGTTTTGGAATGAAAAATAATCTAGTTATTTATTTACTCCCAATGGTGCAGCAGATTAAACTGCTGAGCTGCTGAATTTGCTGACCGAATAGGTGTGATCTCTATGGGAGAAATTGGCCTTTATTATGGAGTGAAAAATGAAAAATAATCTAGTTATTTACTCCCAGCGGTGCAGCGGTTTAAACTGCCGAGCTGATGAACTTGCTGACCGAATAGGTTTGATCTCGATGGGAGAAACTGGCCTTGTTTTGGAATGAAAAATAATCTAGTTATTTATTTACTCCCAATGGTGCAGCGGATTAAACCGCTGAGCTGCTGAACTTGCTGACCGAACAAGTCTGATCTCAATGGGAGAAACTGGCCTTGTTTTGGAATGAAAAAATAATCTGGTTATTTATTTACTCCCAATGGTGCAGCGGATTAAACCGCTGAGCTGCTGAACTTGCTGACCGAACAAGTCTGATCTCGATGGGAGAAACTGGCCTTGTTTTGGAATGAAAAAATAATCTGGTTATTTATTTACTCCCAATGGTGCAGCGGATTAAACCGCTGAGCTGCTGAACTTGCTGACCGAACAAGTCTGATCTCAATGGGAGAAACTGGCCTTGTTTTGGAATGAAAAAATAATCTAGTTATTTATTTACTCCCAATGGTGCAGCGGATTAAACCACTGAGCTGCTGAACTTGCTGACCGAACAGGTTTGATCTCGATGGGAGAAATCGGCCTTGTTTTGGAATGAAAAATAATCTGGTTATTTATTTATTTACTCCTAGTGGTGCAGCGGATGAAACCGCTGAGCTGCTGAACTTGCTGACCGAACAGGTTTGATCTCGATGGGAGAAATCAGCCTTATTTGTTGTTGTTCATTCGTTCAGTCGTCTCCGACTCTTCGTGACCTCATGGACCAGCCCACACCAGAGCTCCCTGTCGGCCGTCACCACCCCCAGCTCCTTCAAGGTCAGTCCAGTCACTTCAAGGATGCCATCCATCCATCTTGCCCTTGGTCGGCCCCTCTTCCTTTTGCCTTCCACTTTCCCCAGCATCATTCCCTTCTCTAGGCTTTGCTGTCTTCTCATGATGTGGCCAAAAGATTTCCACTTTGTCTCTAGTCTCCTTCCCTCCAGTGAGCAGTCGTGCTTTGTTTCCTGGAGGATGGACTGGTTGGATCTTCTCGCAGTCCAAGGCACTCTCAGCACTTTCCTCCAACACCACAGTTCAAAAGCAAAAGCATCTTCCTTCGCTCAGCCTTCCCTAAGGTCCAGCTCTCACATCCAGCTCTCACAGCCTTATTATGGAATGAAAAATAATCTAGTTATTTATTATTTACTCCCAGTGGTGCAGCGGGTTAAACCGCTGAGCTGTTGAACTTGCTGACCTAACAGGTTTGATCTCGATGGGAGAAATCGGCCTTGTTTTGGAATGAAAAATATTCTAGTTATTTATTTACTCCCAATGGTGCAGCGGGTTAAACCGCTGAGCTGCTGAACTTGCTGACCGAAAGGTTAGCAGTTCGAATCCAGGGAGCGGGGCATTTCTCTGGTGTTTATTTATGGGTGCCTTAAATATCTCCCCGGGTTAAACCCTTGTGCTGGCTGGACTGCTGACCTTAAGGTTTGTTTGTTTGTTGGTTGGTTTATTTATTTACTTATTCATTTATTTACTTACGGCATTTATATGCCGCCCTTCTCACCCCAAAGGGGACTCAGAGTGGCTTACAAGATATATATATATACATACAATATATTATATTATTAGCATAGTACAATGTCAGTATTATATATTACTATATTGTACTATAGCATTATATTGTAATATTATTAGTAATATTACATGTAATATAAAATATATAATTATAAAATGGTAGTATTATTATTATCATAGTGTAGTACATTATAATATTATAAATATATGTATATACAATATATTATATTATTAGCATAGTACAATATCAGTATATTACTATATTGTACTGTACCATTATATTGTAATATTCCTAGTAATATTACATGTAATATAAAATATATAATTATAATATTGTATTATTACTATTGTATTATAGTAATATTATATATTATATTATTAGTATAGTACAATATCAGTATTATATATTACTATATTGTACTGTACCACTATATTGTAATATTATTAGTAATATTACATGTAATATAAAATATATAATTATAATATTGTATTATTACTATTGTATTACATTATATTATAAATATTATATGTATATAAAATATATTATATTATATTAGCATAGTACAATATCAGTATTATATATTATTATATTGTACTATACCATTATATTGTAATATTATGAGTAATATTGCATTTAATATAAAATATATAATTATAATATTGTATTATTATTACTATTGTATTGTATTATATTATATTATATATATATTATATTATTAGCATAGTACAATATCAGTATTATATATTACTATATTGTACTGTACCACTATATTGTAATATTATTAGTAATATTACATGTAATATAAAATATTTAATTATTTGTTGTTGTTCATTCGTTCAGTCGTCTCCGACTCTTCGTGACCTCATGGACCAGCCTACGCCAGAGCTCCCTGTCGGCCGTTACCACCCCCAGCTCCCTCAAGGTCAGTCCAGTCACTTCAAGGATGCCATCCATCCATCTTGCCCTTGGTCGGCCCCTCTTCCTTTTGCCTTCCACTTTCCCCAGCAATTTAATTATAATATTGTAATATTATTAGTATTATATTGTATTAATTATAATATTAATATTATATGTATATACAATGTATTATATTATTAGTAAAGCACTGGAGACAAGATGGAATATATTATAAATATATGTATATACAATTATATTATATTATTAGTAAAGCACAGGAGACAAGACAAGGTTGCTGGTTCGAATCCGCGAGATGGGGTAAGCTCCCATCTGTCAGCTCTAGCTTGTGGAGGCATGAGATAACATATCCGGGTGTCCCCTGGGCAACGTCTCTGTAGACTGCCAATTTTCTCACACCAGAAGTGACTTGCAGCATGTTCTCAAGTTACTTCTGACACGATTAAAAGAAAATCGACTCACATTTGCTTTCGAACTGCAAGCCACTATCTTAAAAGTGTTGCATGGGATTCACAAATTTGGCTCACTTTCTCATTTACGTAGTGGCTGGGACTTCCGCAGATCAACAACACTTCAATCTTTTCCCCCAATGAGAGCCAAGCCAGACGCTCTTCTAGTTTTCTTTTTTTTTTAATGCCTCCACAGGTCAAAATCCATTTGCATTCCTCACAAATCTATATAACTTAATTTGCCATATATGTAGGATTTCACATCCACCTGAACATGAGGAAAAATTCCCTGACTGTGAGAGCTGTTCAGTAGTGGAACTCTCTGCCCCTGGAGTGTGTTGGAGGCTCCTTCTTTAAGCAGAAATTGGATGGCCATCTGTTGGGGGTGCTTTGAATGTGATTTTCCTGCTTCTTGGCAGAATGGGGTTGGACTGGATGTCCCACAAGGTCTCTTCCAAGGGCTGCTGGACTACAACACCCATCAGGTTGTGGATGATGGGTGTTGTAATCTGGCAATAAGCAGTCAGCTCATAGTAGTCACATTGGGCCAGTTTTTGGGGAAAACAAGGCTCTCTGAGCGATAACAGAGCGCAAACCCAACACCCTAAAGAAGATGGTTGGAAGCATTTTAACACTTGTCGTCTTATTAAAACCATTCATATTATTGTAATCTCGGAGAGAATGTCTTCTCCGTTCTCCCAAGTTCTTTTCCTCCCCGAAATGGCATTCCTCTTGTTGTTGTTGTTGTTCCAAAACGGGGATTTCGTTCTTGCAAAATGGAAAAAGGAGCTGTTTCCACAAAGTTTGTGCAAACGGGCGACTCCAGCCTCTCTTCGTAAGTTTCCGAAGCAGTTCCTTCAGACTCTTCCGTCCCTTCTCCCGAATTGTCTTTTTTTGGAGGAGAAACATTTCAGTTTCAAAACACAGCTTGTAAAAATCACAGCAGCCCAGGATGACAAAAAAAAACCTGTCCGATCTCAGATCTTCTCCACGTAATTCCCCGGAAACAAGCCTTCTTTGCCGCGGATACGTCCTTGCCACCATCCGGAAGGATCTGCAAAGAAGATTTTAAAAAGAGGAAAAGGTGGCTAATTGTTATAGTAAGAAAGTGAAGTTACCGTTTTACGCCGCCATCTTTTCTGTTTTCCTAGGCTTTTAAAATATGCAAGAGAAACAGATGGCGAAAATAGGAAATCTGCTACAAAACAGGAGCTTTTTTGTTGAGTTCCAGGGCCAGAGAAGCAGATGGCGGAAACAGAAGAATGGCCTTCCTCTGGGGAGTGTGCTTGCTCCATCATTGTTTACCATTTACACCAATGACCAGCCACTGCCAGAAGGGACAGAGAGTGTCATCTACGCTGATGATCGTGCCATCACCACCCAAGCAGGGAGCTTTGCAATTGTTGAATAGAAGCTCTCTAAAGCTTTCGATGCTCTTACTGCCTATGACAGGGAAAACCAGCTGATTCCTTATGTTTAACATTTACACAAATGCTTAGCCACTGCCAAAAGGGACAGAGAGTGTAATCTATGCTGACGATCGTGCCATCACCTCTCAAGCAGGGAGCTTTGAAATGGCTGAACAGATGCTCTCTGAAGCTTGAGGTGCTCTTACTGCCTATGACAGGGAAAACCAGCTAATTACTTATGTTTAACATTTACACAAATGATCAGCCACTGCCAGAAGGGATGGAGAGGTTCATCTATGCTGATGAGCGTGCCATCACCTCTCAAGCAGAAAGCCTTGAATTGGCTGAACAGAAGCTCTTTGAAGCTTTAGGTGCTCTTACTCCCTATTACAGGGAAAATCAGCTGATTTCTAATGTTTAACATTTACACAAATGCTTAGC